GCCCGCGCCGCCCGCGCCCTCCTGCCGGACGCGACCTGGCGAGCCCCCCGCCCCAGCGCGTCCTCGCCCCGGCGGCCCTGCCCCTGGCTCCGGAGGCGCGCCAGGACGCGCCCGCAAGGCCGGCCGGCCGGCCGCCCTCCCGCCCAGGCGCTCGCCAGGTGTGCCGACCGCAGCGCCCAGGATCCCCAGCCGGCGGGGCCACCCGGTCAGATCAGAAGATAAGGAGCGGGGAACTGACACGTCAGCTTCCCCATGAAGTATCCCAAAGTCCAGTCACTCGTGCATTCAAGTCTGGCACAGAAAAAATATTACTGCTTTTTCACTCTGGATTTTGCCATCAGGTCTGTGGCCTTGGACCCCGAAGGGCTGATACTGAGAACGCAACGTGGCTGGCGCAGCGAGGACGCGGCCTGTATTGGAGCGGGTGTCCCGCTGCCACCCTTGAACCAGCATCCACAGGGACATTTGATCTGCCTTTGGCACCCATCTTCCATGATACATTTGGATTTATGCCATTATTTGGATATTTACCTATTTAATTTCAGGGATTCTTGTGCTCAGTTTTCGTTGGGTGTAAGTTTTCATTCTGTACTGTTTTGTCCTGGTGAAATTTACCATAGAATTATCACTTAAAACGAAAAACCGCACCTTGGCAGTGCTTGGTGCTTGGAGGAAGGGTCAGGATACGGATGGAGCAGACAATCTGCAGAAGCTTCATTGTGGCTGATGAGAGCACCCGAAGGCACCTTCCTGCATCAGAGGGTTCCCCCAGTGGCCACCCAAATGCCCCAAGAAGGACTGGAGGGATGCGGCCTTCTTCTTGCCCTTGTGTCCCAGCAGCTGGTCGTGAGTGGGCTTCCCTGCCTCCTGAGCTTCTGCACAGCCCCTGATGGAGCTCAGCAGCCCCATTAATTTAGTTAATCCCCCTTTAAAGCCATTCTGCCCTGGTGACTACCCCAAATTCACAGCCCTGGCACACTCCGCATGCCTTCGTTCCCCTTGACCTGCTCCCGATGGTTCTGGAATTAGTCAAGCCACGCTTATCCTGTCCCTGACGGTTAAGAACCAGAATTAAACTTCCCTTCATTTCTTTGCAATCTGTATGCAGTCCTCCAAGGACGCCCCTTGCCCATTTCTAAAGCGGGGGGCTGCGCGGAGTTGTTTTCCTTCCTTTATAGCTCTTTCCACGTTCCCGCAAATGAGCTGCGGCATCAGGCCATCTCGCTAAAGCGAAGCCAGGGAAACGGAGCCTGTTTGCTTCCTTGGGGAGCGCTTTCTCCCTCCAAAATAAACATCTGGGCAACGCTGCAAAATTTTCCAATCTCAAAAGATGCTTCTTTCCACTCTTAACTGCTGAGCAATCCCAGGAAGGGGTGGGGGATATATTTACTCTCGCCCTTCCAGTGGCTTTGCTTTGTAGCACAATGTGATCTCTTTTTTTTAAGTACATGAAAAGTAAGCTCTTGTACGGGGTGGGAGCAAGTCAGTCTAGATTGCTAATATGTGCGAGTTAACAAGAAGTTAGGATGATCAGCCTAACGTTGAATCAAAATTTTGTATATACCATAAAAAACGACTCGCACAGCAGATGTGTTCCCCAACGAACCATTGGTGGGAACTTGCAAAACAAGCAGTGTTTCGCTTTTCACAGCTGAAGGGTCATTGCCCGTCTTCTTGCACTGAGCCGGTTGCTGCCTAACCATTAACAAGCAATTTGACTGGAGAAACCAACCTTGCAAGTTCCGTTTAAGCGACCGCATTCTTCTGCTTGGGGCGGGCGAAGAAGCATGAGACCCCATGGGGGTGAGAACAGGGCACTTCCTCCCCGCTCCAAGGCAGATCCAGTCTCAAATCTCGGAGGGTGGCAGCAATGCCCAGGCTGCCCCCGAAGTCACCGCGGTCTCATGCCACTCCAGGGAAGGGACTAGTCCCAGTTCCTGTCAGGACAAATGCAGGCAAAGGCTATCGAAGAATAGAAGTGGAAAGACTGACATGCCAGGAAGGAGGGAAAGCACCGTGCGGGGTGCTAGGATTGCTTCTCTGGGAGACCAGGTCTGTCTCCCCCCCCGCCGGGCCTCCTCTGGAGATGAGTCTGAGAACAACACCCATCCTCCTAGACCAGGGTGGGCAATTAATTTTCCTATGGGGCCACATGAGAAACTTTGACAGTTGTTAAGGGCCGGGCCAATACACGTACAGCTCTGCTCAATATATTATTATTATTATTATTATTATTATTATAATTATTATAACATTTCTATGCCGCCCCTTGCCGAAGCCTCGGGGCGGCTTACAACACAATAAAATACATTGAAATACAATAGAACATAATAAATTACCATTAAATACAAAAATACAAAAACTACACTGAGTTTCAAACATAATAATATAAAATTAAAAATAACAGTATAAAATAAGTAAATAAATAATATAGGAGGAGAAAAGAGAAGGAAGAAGAAGTTGCCCTGGCCAGATCATATATTTTAACAATTAAAATGATGTTTAAATAAAAAGGTCTTTACCTGGCGCCGAAAAACCAGTAACGACGGTGCCAGGCGGACCTCTTTGGGGAGTGAATTCCATAGGTTGGGCGCCACCGCAGAGAAAGCCCTCCTCCGAGTACTTACTCTCCTAATTTCTTTCATGGAGGGTTCCAGGAGAAGGGACTCTCCCACAGATCTCAAAGGGCGGTCGGGCATATACGCACGTAAGCGCTCGTTCAGGTAGCCAGGACCCAAGCCGTTTAGGGCTTTATAGGTCATAATCGACACCTTGAATTGGGCCCGGGCTTCAATGGGAAGCCAGTGAAGCTGACGGAGGACTGGAGTCATGTGAGCATAACACCCCGTCCCCGTCAGCAACCTGGCAGCTCTATTTTGCACCAATTGAAGTGTTCGGACTGTCTTCAGGGGAAGCCCCACGTAAAGCGCGTTACAGAAGTCTAGGCGGGAAGTCACCAGCGCGTGTGTCACTGTCGCCAGGCAGTCGTACTCCAGGTAGGGGCGCAGCTGATTAATCAGCCGAAGCTGAAGGAAGGCGCTCCTCGCCACCGCTGTCACCTGAGCTTCCAAAGAAAGCTCCGGGTCGAGGAGTACTCCTAAGCTGCGGACCTTGTCCCTAAGAGGGAGTGCAACCCCATTCAGGGCCAGGTCAAATCCACCCTCTCCAAAGCCCGATCCGCCAACCAACAGGACCTCCGTCTTGTCTGGATTGAATTTCAGTTTATTGGCCCTCATCCATTCCATTACCTTGGCCAAGCACTGGTTCAGCACAGCCACTGCCTCACCTGGATTAGTGGAAAACGAGAGGTAGAGCTGGGTATCATCAGCGTATTGATGATTCCGCAGTCCACACCTCCTGATGACCTCCCCCAGCGGATTCATGTAGATGTTAAATAGCAGAGGGGATAGAATGGAGCCCTGTGGTACCCCATGGCATAGCTGCCATGACGTAGAGACATGGTCCCCCAGCACAACCTTCTGGAATCGACCGTTGAGATAGGAGCGGAACCACTGCAAAGCAGTGCCTCCAACCCCCAATCCCGCAAGTCTATCCAGAAGGATATCATGGTCGATGGTATCGAAAGCCGCCGAGAGGTCCAGAAGAACCAACAGGGATGTACTCCCCCTGTCCTTCTCCATGCATAGGTCATCGTACAGGGCGACCAAGGCAGATTCAGTACTGTACCCGGGTCTGAAGCCGGACTGAAAAGGATCCAGATAATCAGTTTCATCCAAGAGTGCTTGGAGTTGTCCCGCCACCACTCGCTCCAACACCTTGCCCAGAAACGGGATGTTGGCCACTGGTCTATAGTTAGTGGCCATCTCTGGATCCAGTGACGCTTTCTTCAGGACCAGTTGTATTACCGCCTCCTGTGGAGCACAGAACAACACTAATGAATATTCACAATTAACATTACATGAAAAGCAATACATTCAATTCAATTTTACTTATATAGCGCAAATTTACAACATATGTAATCTCCCAGCGCTTAACATAGTAAGGTACAGACCTTACGAATTATAACAGAACAGAGAAACAGAAAACTCAGCAATCCAAGTTGCCTTTGGATTCCCTATAAATGCATCCAGCTTTGTTTGTTTGCATCACCTCAGTTCTTTTTGTTGTTGTTGTTGTTCAGTGAGAGAAATCTAGTCTGTTTTGGCTTGAACGACGATATATATTTGCATTGACTTTTAATTTCCCCATGGCCTCATAAGGGCCAGTCAGGGTCAGCCATCGGGCCGGATGTGGCCCGCGGGCCATGCAATGCCCAGGTCTGTCCTAGACGGACGGAGATGGAGTTGCAAATCAGCACATCGGAGGGGGGGGGGCACACAGCTGGCAAAGGAGGGTGAGCAGGCACAATTTATGCTGTTGTAAGGAGATGCCGGCCCCCCACGATGGCAGGTGGCTGAGGACTCGTTCCATGACCTGGTGCAGCTTAAGAATGATCTGCACCCACTGCCGCATGGAGACCTGCATCCTAGAAATGGGAACTTGCAACGCCGAGCAATGTCTTCTAGGGCTGGTCTGGGGTCAACGGTGCTTTGGCTGCAAAAGCACGGGCCTCGGGTGGACGTGACGTCACCCGTGAGAAGCTTTTTCTCCATCAAAGGCCCCAGGAGTGATTAGAAAGTGAGACATCAGGCCTCGGTGACCCATGGGGACTCTTCAGCGATGCAATACCGTGCCAGGAGATGACTAATCATCCCTCGTGATGCGACCATCCGCGGCTGGATGGCTAACGCAGGCAGATTGCAAAAGAGTGCGCGAGAGAAGCGGGCGTCAGGAAGCGGGCTTGATTCCCTCTAACAATACCTGTTTTATAGCCATGGCATGCAGAGGATGCTGCCCAAGGGGGCAGATGAAGCCACTCCGTCAGCTGTCAAGGACAAGCACAGCCCTCCCGGTGCGATGAGCACTCGCTCTGCTCTGCTGAAAGGTTGGCTCCAACGCTGCTCCCTGTGGCGGCTGCCTCTTTCCTTGGACGGATCATTCCGGGGCCGTGTCCCCCAGTCCCTCCGTGCATCCCACCGCATGGAACTCCGTGCCCCTCAGACCCGGAGAGCAAGGCAGGAAACAATGTTGCTATTAGCCACCGCCTTGCGTTTGCCAGAGACGAGCGGGGCTGTCAAGGGCCGGACGCTGCGGAGGGCGCTCATTCCTGGGCTCTCCGTGTGCCGGGGGCAACTTGACAGCGTGGCTGCTCATTGCATTAATGGTCGAAATCACGCTCCTTCACTGGTGTGGGTTCCACTTTGCAGGAGTGTCAGGAGGACGTTTGAAGGGCCGGCTCCTGGTGACTCCTCTCCCTTTCCTAGCGCTAACATTTGGGGCACCTGGTGGATTTGGTGGGTGGTAAGTTTGGGACACCATGGAGGGACGGCCACTTCTTCACGCCACTCACAGTGCGCTGGAGTGGCGCATGGTGGGCTGCAGAGGCTGCTCGAGACATCTTCGGGGAGAGCTCTTGCTGACCACGGACCACCCCACCCCACCCCAGCTAAGCCCATGCTCTGGTAACCTCCCATGTGGACTACTGCAATGCACTCTACATGGGGCTGCCCTTGAAGACGGTCCGGATACCTCAACTGGTCCAGAATAGCGCTGCCAGGTGATTAACGGGGACCGGCAGATACGCCCACATCCTGCCGGTCCTGTACCATCTGCACGGGCTGCCAGTTGATGTCCGGGCCCAATTTAAGGTGCTGGTGA